CCCCTTACATATGTAAATATTCACGGAATAATCGATGATAAATCCCCATCGCGAATACATTGACCGCCCAGGAAAACCAGATATAAAAAACCCGTTAAGGGGAAAAAACATCTGGAAACCTGTACCCGACACAATGTCAGATGTATCTAGGGGTGGATGTCGGGAGTTATCCATATTAAAATTGAACATATATTAAATAAGAAAAAATACATTGTGAGTTGTTTGCAACCGAGACTGAATACAATAGAACACTCTTCTTACTATATACCCATGAGCACCTGGTTATTTAGCCAATAACCAGCTGCAGTCAGGATAGGTGCAATGGCACCTGAATAATTTACATACGAATAGATAGCAATTATCTGCTAATCTACGAAACGCAGATAATTTATCAATCTATACTTAACTCCAATTATTCGTACAAATTAAACAACAAGCATGAAATGCGGTATGCGGTGGTTGCAGTACCCAGGAGAGCAAAAATTTAGTTATGGTTTCACAAACGTGTATGTTAGACCCCAAGGGACTTTGATACTTCTAGTTTGCTTTGAAGCGAATCGCAAATATATCTGTCTTTTGAACTCGTGCTCTTCCACCCTCCGTGTCTGGCAATGCACCTTTCATTAACGTTACTATTAGCTGCCGCCGTTGCGCCACCCGCACGAAAACTGTGAGTGCCGAATTGGGAAATATCGTTAACTAGTGGTTTGATACCTTTCATCATTAAATCTCTAGCAGTAGAATATGAAATCCCTAAATGATTGTGAGGCTTGAGCCCCTGCTTAGTATGTACTAGTCTTCGAATTAAGAAACTTTCGGAATTAACGTTAACCCCCAATTTAGATATGAACATTTCAGTAACACGTACGGGACAAGTATTTTTGGGAGACCTTGCAATAATTATAGAACTTCCTTCTCGAAATTTGTCGTTCTTTCGCTTATGCAATTTAATCTCCATATGAGAATCTGAAAATGAAATGTCGCTTATTTTAACGCTCAAGAGCTCGCCAATACGCATAAATCCAGCATACGAAATAAGGCACAAGCATAGCAATCGTAAGTCTGATAACGAAGACAGATTCTTTTGGGACACCAGTGTGGCCAGAATTTCTGGGTAGACTGGCTCTTTGGCCTTTCTAGGTTTAGCGAGAATGCGCCTGCAGCCCTCCATCGTAGCTCGAACCATTGGATGACAAGTCGGGGATTCTATACCAGCCATTGAGTGCGCCCATCTAATACTATACAATGCGGAATCCATGGGCGCAACTGTATTTGCGTTGTCCAACAAACTCCGAAGATATATAGCAATGTGCAACGGCTTTGCTGGACAGGCGGCGCCCGCCGACAGATTTGACTGACACCATCGTTTCCATCTGAGCCAACTGCCGGTGTACTTGCTTAACGTATTACCGGCTCTAGACGCCAACATCACATCGGGAAGAGTGTCACAGAAGTCATCCAGTGCTGGGTTGCTGAGTTCAGCCTTCCAATTTTGTATCTGAAAGACATCTAAAACTACACAATTTATACAACAAAATTGACACGACGACGCAATAATATACCGACATTTAACCGCGAATTGGAAATAACGAATTGTCTACTCACATCGAACATTGCTGTCCCACAAGAACAGCGTCAGCAAATGGCTGCACTTCCATAGCGCCAGCAACATGCCGAAAGGCGAATATATACAGACACAGGCCCAAAGGCGAATATCTATACCGACACACGCCGAAAGGCAAATATCTATACCGACACACGCCGAAAGGCGAATATCTATACCGACACACGCCGAAAGGCGAATATCTATACCGACACACGCCGAAAGGCGAATATCTATACCGACACACGCCGAAAGGCGAATATCTATACCGACACACGCCGAAAGGCGAATATCTATACCGACACACGCCGAAAGGCGAATATATATATATATGTATACCGACATGCCGAAAGGCGAATATGCAGAAAAGCTACATATCCTGTAGGAAAGTAAACTAGCATACAAAATGATGCGACATAAATTTATTCATATTAAATACCTATTTACAAGAATCCTTAGTCATGACAGATCGGACTGCGACATTAATCATACAATACAAACGTACACCAAGCGACATTACTATATGCAATTATATAATTTGGCAATTCCAATTTAACCAGTCCCTGTGGACTGAAGTTTGCTCGCGTCCCGCGCATCATGTGGGTCTGGATCGAATGAGAGTCTCAAAGCCAACATATTGAAATTCGGACAACCAACAAGACTGGATGTCATGCGAGTTTTAACCAAATGAATGTTTGACCCCTTCCTCTCACTAGCAAACCGGGGATACGGGGAAGGACGGGAACAAACTTAACAAAGTCAGCAAAACAACCAGGCTGCGGACGCAACACCGACCAGAAAGCGGCAGATGGCCATTTTGGCAATATTAAAGTTGCCTTTCCTCTGCAACTCTGAAGATGACGAATAGCGGGAATTACAAGACTGAAGGGAGGACATACCCAATTATTTTCAGTGGACCAATCCTGACAAAATGCGTCAACGGCCTCTGTACCGGGGTTCGAAGCTGCTGAATTGAAACGTGGCAGCTGAGCGTTGTGACAAGACGCAAATCTGTCAATGCTATGCGGGCCCCATATTTTGTCCAACATGCCGAAAATCTTGGGATTTAGTGACCAATCGTCTGTATCAACAATTCTACTCAGCATATCCGCTTTTTCATTCTCGGACCTCGGTAGCCAAGTCGTCTGTAGTTGAATATCATTCTGACAACAGATATGAAAAATTTCAATGGCTAACTCCTGAAGAGATGGCTTTGCACTACCGACAGAAATTATTCTACAAGCCTTCTGGTTATCCGAAAACCACCTAACTTTTCTATGCCTCAAAGTCAACAAAAATGAAGTTAATACATAAAGTACAGCTTTTAACTCGCGAAATGTGGAGCTCTGTACGCGTTCTGTTTCATCCCACAACCCATTAGAATAAAAGAATTCTGAATTATAGATATAGTGACCACCATAACCAGTGTCCCTTGCATCTGAAAATACAACCGCAGTTGCCGAGAATTTGTGTTTGATACGAAAACCGTTTAAAGCGTCCACAGTACTCGACCAAAACAAAAGTTCCTGAAGCACAGGTCCAGATATATTAACGATCTGCGACCACGACGATCGATTCTCAATAGTAAAATACATTTGCCTCGTAAATAGACGAGTAATCGGACCAACAGCGATGGATAAAGATATCAAACCGAGCATCTGTTCACAGTATTTACGGTCGAAATTAAATTCTTTTCCTTGTCAACTTTACACTGTGGGAGAGAAAATTCCATCCGCAAGGTGTTAATGACAAACCCCAACCATTCACCGATTTGAGCGGGCTCCCAGCGAGATTTCTGCTCGTTAACTTTAGACCAGATTTATGCAAATCAGTTCGTTGAACAATACTAGCTGCTCTAGCAGATGTCAGACAATCGTGACCAGAAATACCGTCGTCTAAATACACTATTGACGCGTGTGACATACTACGCCATCTCTTAACCAACGGCCTTAGAAGCTTAGTAAAACAATAACAGGCAGTGCTCAAGCCGAACGGCAACACATTGAATGTAAAATACTTGAGCTCGCCGTCAAAATTCCAACAAAAACCCCAAAACTTGCGATGTTCATGCCAAATATCAACATGGTGATAGCTGGATTCAAGATCCCAACTAAAAAAATAAAAGTTGTCGGAGAACATCTGAGCTAAAGTTTTTAGGTCTTCATATCTAAATGAAGGCTTTGCTAAGTAAAGGTTCACATGTCTGAGATCGAGAACTAATCTGAGCTTTTTTCCCTCTGCCACTGTCAAAGGGTTTACGCAATAAGGTCGAGAAAACTGGTGTGAAACACAGCTATTGGCAAGTAATTTATTGATTGCTTGACGAATGATTTGGGGGTGTTTCCTGCTGGACAAATTATTTTTACCCACAAATTGCGGGGGATAATTTGAGAAAGGTAAACGGTAACCAAATGAAATTAATGAACGTACAAAAACTGGGCAGGACAAAGAATTTTGCCAGAAAGACAATGAGCTCTTTAGCCGCCCGACCACAGATCGTGACAATATTTGCTCAGAATTGCATACATTTAACTCCAGAACATTGGGATAAGAAAAAACAATATTGCCCAAGCCAAGTGTCGCTGAATTAGGATGGGTGGCCTCCCTGGATTCGGACGGTAGACTTTTTGTTGGCAAGCCGCAAGCATCTGTTCTGCAAGTGTCTGTAATCTCCGCACCTGAAACGGGGACCAATCCGGAATTCAGAAGTTTGTGATCCGTGACGTGCATCTCTGAACAAATTGCTACGAGTATTCAAATTCTGTTGACTGGGTTGGGTTCGGCGATAGCGCTTCTTTTGTTTGATTTTTGTCCCTGCACGTTTTTCGAAACGCTGAATACGCTTTTCGTCATCAGTTTCAGAGGCCAACTCATCAGAAATGTATTCATTCACTGTGCCCCACCCAAATTCGCTTTTATCGGCCAGCTTGATAAGCTTCATACGATGAGAAACCAGAGCCATACCTTTCTCGAGAGCGTCTTTAGCTTTCTCCACAGCATTCTTAGTAGTGGCATCCATGGCAGTATGCAGGCACTCCATCACCTTCTGCTCGTGCTCGAACTGCTGCCGATTACCAGGTTTTTTGAAATCATGCTTGTCAGCCCTGGCACGTTTTGCCGCCGTCTCTAGAGCTTCGCTATTTTCTTCAGACAAGTCGCGCTTAAATTTCGACAAACGGTCTTCTACAACGGTGGTAATATTGTTAGTAACATCGTCGAGCAAGTCCTTGATGTTAGGTGGTGTTATCGGTTCACTGAGGCCTTCCGTCGGTGTGGACATCGTGAGTTGTTTGTAACCGAGACTGAATACAATAGAATACTCTTCTTACTATATACTCATGAGCACCTGGCTACTTAGCCACTAACCAATCAGAGCAGGTGCAATGGCACCTGAATAATTTACATATGAATAGATAGCAATTATCTGCTAATCTACGAAACGCAGATAATTTTTCATGGTTTTCGACCCATTGTCGATGACAAGATGAACCAAGCTGTAGGTACTGCCCTAGATTAGTTTATTGGCAGATGTGATGGGCCTGGCTGGTCATGATAATAGTGGGGTTCGTTCGAATGTGCTTTGAATATGCGAATGCATCTTGAATTTAACATACAACATTCTCGACAATTTTAAAAGTACAAATGTGTCTCGAAATAAATAAATAGAAAGATCCTGCAAAACATGTTATGATTGTTGACCGACAACATTGCGTAAAAGGGTATGCGTGTCTGTTTTGTAACATACGAGTCGCACATATATTTGTGTATATTTGGCGTCAGGCAACTGGATATGCTAAAGCCACAGCCGTATCACAAAGTTTTTTTTGTTTTGTTTTTAATTTGTTGGTGCCTTTTTTTTCACGTTGCATAACATCATTATTGCTTAGTGGACAAGACACTTTATGGCACGCATACTATGATAATAATAACTTTATTATGTCGTCTTGTGAAATTACATCTCAATTTTAGCTAATTGTAATAAAAGTATAACAAAAAGAAGTAACTAAATCACATTAAAAAGACACAACTACTACTAGGTACAGTACTAATAGTGCTTAAGAGAAGAAAATTTTCATTGTGCTTGGAAGTTAGCATGTAAAGTATAAGATAGGTAATAACATGTTTAATGAGTTTTATTTCTGATGTATTCTTGATATACTTATATTTTTCAATATTATCGGCAGACAAATCTGGGAATTGTTCAGTGAAGACCATATATAGTTTCTCACGATCTGTATTATAGAGTTTACAGGATGTAATGAAATGTATTTCATCTTCAAGTATGTTACACATCCTGCAAACTCTGTTGTCAACTGGTGTTTTTGGTCTCTTGTAACGTCCTAGCTCTATTTCTAATCTGGTTGTTAAGTCTCAGTTTAGACAAGCTTAATTTCCTCTCTCTTATTCAACAGGTATAAATAAGGTGATGTGCTAATGTCATCTTTTAATAAAGAATATGTTCTCATTTTTGAAT